TATTATATATTGTTTATTGTTACTATTATTATTGTTATTGTTATTTATTATTATTGTTATTATTATTATTATTATTACTATTATTATTATTATTATTATTATTACTATTATTACTATTATTATTATTATTATTATCATGCCCATAATAAGGAGTGGCCCGTCCTGTTTTACAAGAAAACTCGTGAAATAAAAGTCAGGGTGATATAACCTGGACACCTGAGGCCTGAGCCGTACCTGGTAGGTGTTGGAGCTCCTATGGGCACATCTGATGAAACAGATGTTATTACAAAGAGAAAAATGGACCTTTTCTCTTTTATTGTGCATTTACTAATGGTCATGGAGTCAGGTTTGAGTAGAGCACCTTAGAAGCAAACAGCATCATTTCTAAGTAAATGTTGTCTCCTCTCCGGGTCTAAACAGGTCTTATCTTCTATCGGGGCGGGGAGCATGGCATGTGGGAGTAAAAGCGCACGCTGCAGCAGGACAAACTGCTACGCTGGAGGATGGCCAGCCTCCCGACGCCTCTGACGGGACACAATTAGTTCTGATTCTGGAAATTATTCACAAGCTGTTTGTCCTAGCAAGTTGTGTGTGTGTGTGTGTGTGTGTATGTGTGTGTGTGTGTGTGTGTGTGTGTGTGTGTGCTGGGGTTACAGTGCCCTAAACTCGGCCTGTTATGAAGAAGTGGCCCGAGTGTGCAGGAGGTCTGGGAATGTCTGAAGAAGCGAAGGGTCTAGCAGCCCTATGAGGTCAAGGGGGACCTGGGGGAGTGGTAGGGGTAGGTGTGCTGTGTGCATGAGGGAGGGGGAGGGGGGGGACCAGGGGTCAACCTCTGCCTTTGGAGTCAGTGGAGCTCATCGGTCAGAAAAACTTGTCCCCTGGCTGAACCCTGCCTGGCAGCTCTGCCTGTTCCTGTACGGACCATCGATTTTTCTCCCTTCACCTTCTTTCTTTGTCTTTCTCTCTTCCCTGTTCTTCTTGTCTTCCTGTCATTTGTTTTTCCACACTGGAGCGCCTGCAGCTTAGAACCCGGCAGACTGATTTCTGCAGGGTCAGGTCCAAGTGAGTGTACACCCTAAGGCCGCTCCATCTTTAACCACCTCAGAATTCCTCCTCCCACCTTTAACCCTCTGGAGACAGGCGTTGCAGGTTAGCTACGTTACACCTATCTGGTTACTCCACACACGTGTTTCATGAGCAAGTTTAACTCAGAAGTTCCATGAAGGACGTAGTTGTTCATCCTTCTATCAACACTTATTTAGAGGGTTAGGAGCAATGATAATAATCTTGGTTAGCCTTTTTGCAGCTAGCAGAAAAAAACAAACACATGCACACATGCATGAGTGTCTAATTTTACAGAAACAGGTTCAGACTCTTAGAGGAGGGATTTGGTAGTTTAACTAAAACATTTCAGACAACTCTGCATTAAAACACTGCAGAGTGTCTTGGCTCAGCCTCCAGAAACCCTGACAGGGACGCTTCACACAGCAGATGCTTGAAAGGCAGAAGGCCTGGGGGTGAAAACATCAGCAGAAACGAGGCCTTAGCACGTGAACAGAGTCAAACACATGAGAGAAACAACAAAACACACGCAAAGTCTCCGAAACAAGCACAGCTGAACCCTCACTTTGCCATCTTTTACCGGAGAATGCCAAGCACGCACGGAGCAAAACCACAAAACCGCTCTGAGTCCGCACGACCAGAGAGAGAAAGTGGCTAAATCTCATCTCTTACCTGTGGTGCAGCTTGGATCAGCATCAGGGCCATGATCTCCTCAGGTCTGGGCTCTGGTCCGGCTCTAACTCTCCTCCAGGGCCTTGAGACTTCCCATGGAGAACCTAACTTATGGCTCTCTCTCCTCTCTCTCTCTCTCTCTCTCTCTCTCTCTCTCTTCTCTCTCTCTCTCTCTCTCTCTCTCTCTCTCTCTCTCTCTCCTCTCTCTCTCTCTCTCTCTCATCTCTCTCTCTCTCTCTCCATTGTGTGTGTGTTGTCCTTCTTCTTTTCAATTGGGAGGAGGGGGATGTTCTTCCAAGACACCTTACTTTTCTTCTCCTCTGTCCATCTGCTCTTTGCCCTCTCTCCATCTCTCATGAGAAGTCCTGTGTGGCTGCCAAGTGACAATAGAAGAAGAAAAAAGGCATTTAAAGAAAATCTAGTGATTAATGGTTGTTCCGTGAATAATTTTCACATTTTTCTTGAGGTGCTGTCTCCATTGTCTTCAGACAAAGAGCAGCAGACAGTCGACACTTTAAAAAGGCCCCAATATCTATCTATCTATCTATCTATCTATCTATCTATCTATCTATCTATCTATCTATCTATCTATCTATCTATCTATCTATCTATCTATCTATCTATCTATCTATCTATCTATCTATCTATCTATCTATCTTATCTATCTATCTATCAATCTATCTATCTATCTATCTATCTATCTATCTATCTATCTATCTATCTATCTATCTATCTATCTATCTATCTATCTATCTATCAATCTATCTATCTATCTATCTATCTATCTATCTATCAATCTATCTATCAATCTATCTATCTATCTATCTATCTATCTATCAATCTATCTATCTATCTATCTATCTATCTATCTATCTATCTATCTATCTATCTATCTATCTATCTATCTATCTATCTATCTATCTATCTATCTATCTATCTATCAATCTATCTATCTATCTATCTATCTATCTATCTATCTATCTATCTATCTATCTATCTATCTATCAATCTATCTATCTATCTATCTATCTATCTATCATCTATCTATCTATCTATCTATCTATCTATCTATCTATCTATCTATCTATCTATCTATCTATCTATCTATCTATCTATCTATCATCTATCTATCTATCTATCTATCTATCTATCTATCTATCTATCTATCTATCTATCTATCTATCTATCTATCTATCTATCTATCTATCTATCTATCTATCTATCTATCTATCTATCTATCTATCTATCTATCTATCTATCTATCTATCTATCTATCTATCTATCTATCTATCTATCTATCATCTATCTATCTATCTATCTATCTATCTATCTATCTATCTATCTATCTATCTATCTATCTATCTATCATCTATCTATCTATCTATCTATCTATCTATCTATCTATCTATCTATCTATCTATCTATCTATCTATCTATCTATCTATCTATCTATCTATCTATCTATCTATCTATCATCTATCTATCTATCTATCTATCTATCTATCTATCTATCTATCTATCTATCTATCATCTATCTATCTATCTATCTATCTATCTATCTATCTATCTATCTATCTATCTATCTATCTATCTATCTATCTATCTATCTATCATCTATCTATCTATCTATCTATCTATCATCTATCTATCTATCTATCTATCTATCTATCTATCTATCTATCTATCTATCTATCTATCTATCTATCTATCTATCTATCTATCATCTATCTATCTATCTATCTATCTATCTATCTATCTATCTATCTATCTATCTATCTATCTATATATCTATCTATCTATCTATCTATCTATCTATCTATCTATCTATCTATCTATCTATCTATCATCCGTCCGTCCGTCCGTCCGTCTAGATAGAATATGTTTGTGTGTGTGTGCACACGTGTGCGTGTGTGTGTGTGTGCACACGTGTGCGTGTGTGTGTGTGTGCACACGTGTGCGTGTGTGTGTGTGTGTGTGTGATCCTCTGGTTACGGGCTTGTGAGCAGACAAATGGGCAGAGAGGCAAGAGGCCGAAGGAGAAATCAACCTAGAAGTAATGGGGAATCTTCTCTGGGCTGGAGAATACGAGCGGACCAATTTGGGGGGCACATTTTTTTGTTTAAAGTTCATGGAGAAGAATGCTGTTTCCCTCCCTCCCCCTCCCTCTCGCTCCATATTTTTCGATACCTGCTCTAAGAAAAGAAAATGAAAATTAATACGAGCGCCGCGCTTCACAAAAGAAGCTATTCGTCTTGTTGATTATCTATTTGGTTGTCAAAGTTTGAGCTATTGCGCCGGCTGCTCTCTAGTAATGTGTTAAAAAAGTGAGAATAATATATATATATATATATATATAATATTTTTGTATATATTTTTTATATATATATATATATTTATATATATGTATGTATAAATAAATATATATATGTATATATATTTTTTTTAATATATATTTATATATATACTTATATATATATGTATGTATATATATATATATTATATATATATATATATATATAAATATTTACACATATATATATATATATATATATATGTGTGTGTAAATATTTATATATATACTTATATATATGTATGTATAAATATATATATATTTACATACATATGATATGTTTATATAGTAACTGTTTTACACAATTAACATTCATGGTGGAAGAAGCAGAAAGGATGAAAATAAAGTGTTTTATTGTTTGTCAGTCGATCCTTGGGGGGGGGGGGGGCTTGCTGGCCGGTGCAGCAGGATGTAGGCAGCCGGTAAATGGACGGGAGTGAAACGGAGGAACGGTTTGTGATTTTAAATGAGATTACAGGAAGTAATGTACCAGGATCATTGGTGTCCGGGGCAGATTAATCATCAGGCTGCTCATTTAGGACGGCTGGCTGAGCTTCTGTGGGCAAAAGCGACATCAAAGAGAATCAGTTATTGTTAAACATGGACTGCAGCAGAAAATAACCACGTTCAACAAAACTCGTGAGAATTTAAGATCAGAAATTCAAATACCAGCAACGGTATTTGACAAGAGTCGGTTTTGAGTTGTTTATTTATATTTACAAACAACCAGAAATAACACTGAGGAGGGAAGCATGACCGGAGAAAACAACAATTCTGACCAGTCACAAGGCAGCAAAACATCTGGAAGCAGCATCTGTTTAAAACAAGCCGACAATGGAAACCATCACAGACAGAAATTATATATATATATATATATATATATATATATATATATATATATATATATATATATTTATATATATATATATAATTTTTCTAGCACCAAGAATGTGGGAAAAAAACAAGTTCGATAACTTTTTTTGTTACAAGAAAAGCATTTGGCATCGATGGAAAGAATTAAAACGTTCATATTTATTTTGAGTAAAATGGTCCACAGCAGGAGAAACATTACACGCACACGCACGCACGCACAACACACACGCGCTTGTGTGTGTGTATGTGCGTGTGCGCGCGCACGTGTGTGTGTGTGCGCGTGTGTGTGTGTGTAAAAGTACGAAAGCAGAGCTCCATTTGGTTTTGGGTAATGGGCTTTGTGTCCCGCACAGTAAACATGAATACTGGGCCTGCGCGCATGCGTTATCAAACATGAAAACGTGAATCTATCTTCTAAAGACAGAACGAACGAAAATAACCGGATTAAGTTGAAAGGAGGCAGCAGCGCGCTGACATAAAAAAGTAAAGGAAGCGGAGGAAGAGGAGGAGACTAGCTCCTTCGGTTCATCGCAAATGTTATCCGCTTCACAGCAAAGGGCATCAATCCAGTTCATAGTGCAGTTCCCGTGGTTCTACTCGGGTTCGCCTTCTGCGTTCGAGTTGGGGGTCGGGGGCCAGAGCGGGCCAGAGATCCGTCACGAGGGTCATGATGAGCGGCTCTAGGAGCCAGACCCCCTCTGGGAGCCCGGGGTACCAGAGCGGATCTTGGTGTTGGGTAGCTTGTGGTCTTTCTTCCACTTCATCCTCCGGTTCTGGAACCAGATCTTGATCTGCCGCTCTGACAGGCAGAGAATGTGCGCTATCTCCACCCTGCGCCTGCGCGTCAGGTATCGGCTGTAATGGAACTCCTTCTCCAGCTCCAGGACCTGCTGGCGCGTGTAGGCCGTCCGCGAACGCTTCGGCTCTCCGCCTGAGTAACTGGAACTGACTGTGGAGGAGGAGAGATGAGCGAGATTTAGCTGGGTACCAGCAAAACCACACCAGAACCACAAACACGAAACCCAACATCCGTCAGCAGAGTCATTACGACGAATACAATAATACACAAGCCGCGGCGAGCCCAAAAGAACCGGTTCTATTGGACCGAGCCTGCTGCTAAACGTATTTACTTTAGAGAGAGAGAGAGAGAGAGGAGAGAGAGAGAGAGAGAGAGAGAGAGAGAGGAGAGAGAGAGTTGTGTGTGTGTGTGTGTGTGTGTGTGTGTGTGTGTGTGTGTGTGTGTGTGTGTGTGTGTGTGTGTTTGTGTGTGTGTGTGTGTGTGTGTGTGTGTGTGTGTGTGTGTGTGTGTGTGTGTGTGTGTGTGTGTGTGTGTGTGTGTGTGTGTGTGTGTTTAAAGGCAGAGGTTTGAACGGAGGTGAGGTGGGGGTGCGGCAGGAGCACGCGACGCTCATGAACGTCTGGCTAATTCCACAGAAGCGCAGCTGAAGGTTCGGGTTCTGTGAGGCTCCCACAGACCCAGATACTCGCGCGCACATTAGTGTTTTATTGAGCGGCTCTATAAACATGAATATTTCATCTGTCATAAAACTTTCACTTCCTCGGAACCGGACTGGGGCAGAAGGCTCGAGTCCGCCGTTTACGCAGCCCGACCACTTAAAACCAAATTACCAAGGCATAAAGCTAACTTATGGCTCAGCCCTGAGTTGTCATAAGGCGGACGAGTTACGGCGGAGCAAGCCTCGGATCACACTCCCAAAGACACCGCAGGCAGAGAGGCGTCATAAAAATTTATGGGGGGGTGTAATTATATTGACCCTGCAGGACGGCCGTAAAATCTGCAGCCAAAGGCTACTCTGCTCTACTTTCACCGGGACGCGGAGACCGGCGCCTTGCGCGCGCAGAGCGGACTGGCAGTGTCTCGGCAGGAGGCACACAGGGCAGCAGAGGGAGATGAAGTTCATGCAGCACTCACCGATGTTTACGTGCACTTTCTTCATCCACGGGTACACTACTGGGTCCTTGCGCGTGCCCGCCGGAGAAGAAGCGCTTTGACGTGGCGTCTGGCCGCAAGATAGAGGCGGAGGCGGGCTTGGTGTCACCGAGTCGTGGCGGTGGCTAGGATCTGAGACGGGGGTGGTCGGCAGCCCGGTCGGAGGACGACCTGACCCCGGGGAGACATAACCACCGAGGGCGGGCTGAGCTGCGCGCTGGCACGGAGAGTAGGGCGGTTCGGCTCGGTGCTGCTTGCTGCTGTTGAGCCGGGTGGTTCGGGTGGTGCTGGTATAGAGAGTCCGGCTGGAAGGCGTTCGGCTCCTGCCTGTGAGAGCGATAGTCCGGAGAGTGACTGGGCACATAGCTGCTCTGATAATACTCTTCGCAGGGGGGGAACTTGGGGTCCACATAGCTGGAGTTGATCAAATAGGAGCTCATGACCATCAGTCTGAGGCTTTTGTGTGGAAAACATAAAACTACAATTTATATCCCATCCCTTTACTCTTGGATTATTTCTGTTCGCTGAACCCTCCTACTTTTCTGTCAAGTGAACAAAGTTAAGGCTCCACGTGACCGCAAGCCGACCAATGGCGTGCCTCCTCAAGCGAGCCCCGGATAAGGAAATGGGATTAGACCGCACGGCTCGCAGACGTGCACTAATCACATGACTTGGTTTTAAAATGTGTTTCTTTCTTCAGCTCGATGTATCTGGATCTCCACGTGTCAGCGCAGAACCAGAACCACAACCAGAACCGGGCCAGAACGCAGCGGAGAGGTTGCTCCTGCCACCCCGAATATGCAAAATAGTTTTTTTTCTGATTGGAGGAGTTTCGAATGCACCACCCTCTGTCTGCATGTTTATTTGGGTTTGTGGTGGTGCTGTCTGCCCCACCCACCTGTTCTCTTGTTTTAAATGCCCCCCCCCCCCCCCCCCCCCGGAAGCCCTGTCAGAGATGAATCTGCTTCTTTGGGATCGATCGAAAATTCATCAAGTAATTCAGGTAGCGGGCCTCCTAAATCACCACCGAGCAGAGCTCCTGCTGCAGTCCAGAGATGTTTCCAACGAGCGAGTCACACACACACACACACACACAAACACACACGACACGAGAGAGAGAGAGAGAGAGAGAGAGAGAGAGAGAGAAGAGAGGAGAGAGAGAGGAGAGAGAGAGAGAGGAGAGAGAGAGAGAGAGAGAGAGAGAGAGAGGAGAGAGAGAGAGAGAGAGAGAAGAAAGGAAACAAAGCAAAAACATGTAAACTAGAAAAGAAAGTGTGTTTTAAACTGCGTGTCAGAGAAAAAGTAAAAGCAGAGAGATTTCTTCCTTCATCTAAAGTTTTCTCAGAACTGAAATATGAGGTTTCACGCGACTCACCTCCTTATATAATATCTGACTCTGACTGGACTTTATTTCGAACTAACATAAAAAAACATTTTTATAAACACAACTCGACACAGAACCAGTCAAATAATAACTTCTCAAAAGTTGGAAGTAAAAAATATTATAATACAAATACAAATAAGTGTTTTTCACTAATGTTCACGAGCTCGGCTTTGGGAGCAGCCGCCTTCCTCAGCAGCAGAAAAGGAAAATCACTAAATACGTATTTAATCAATAAATATAAGGAATAAACTAAACATTCGTTGGCCCAGAAAAGGTCAGACACACCATCTAAATTTACGGAACGGAACCGGAAGCAGCTCGGGGTCCATCGCTGTCGTCGTGTGTAAATCCACTATATACTCCCTCAGAAGCGAATTTGTGATTTTCCACTGATTCTGACACAAATCCGGATCTACAGGGTAGATATAGAAGACATGATCTCTCTAAAAGGATGCTGTCGCTTCACAAGCTCGTCAGTACTGTCCGTGACCTCTGACCCCCTCAATGCTGCGGGGATCTGGGAGGTGACATCGTGCTGCTGTTTCACTTCCTGTAGCGGCAGGGCGTCGGCGGAAACCGACTGAACTTTAGTCGGGAAGTAGGCCGAAGTCACGGCCACGGTCCGACGCTCATAACTGCATTTATATTTATTATCCACGTGCGAAATGATTTTATTATCACGTGACACGACGGCTGGTTTTACCTCCAGGCCTTCAGGCCGCCGCGAAGCTTTGAACCAGTTCTCAACTAAATGATGAAAATAATAGAAATGTTTATTGAACTATCTTGGCTTGGATGATCCCGTTGGCTCCGCTCCGGAGATTATTCCTAACATGTGGTCTTGGCCCGGAGAGAAGACGGATGACTTGGCACAAAGGAGCACCGAGCCATCAGAACCGGTTCGAAATGATTTGACAGAACAATTAATGGAAGGAGGGAATAAAAAGATAAAAGGGACTCAAATAAATGAAGTGGGGATTATCTGGCGCTGAAGACTTGAACACTTCGTTTTAAGTTGGGAAATCCATCGTGTGTTTATTAAATTAGATAAAAGAAAAACATGTTTGTGAGTTTTTTAACCCTTCAGTAAACGAGAATCTAAATGTCTGGTTTTTAATTAGAGATGATTCGATTTTAGGGACAATATGTGTGTAAAAAATCACGAAAATAACATCATAACGTTTTATATGGTAAAATAAACCTGTTATGTGCTCTGTGGGAATAATAAATACAAAGTCGTTCAAATAGTCAATAAAATGTTAATTTAAAAACCACACAATTCGGAGAAACCACCTCCGTTTTAATATTAAAGTCAACTATATAAGATATTAGATCGGAGAGCAAAAATACAAACTCCTCTGATTGCATAAATAAATGTTGTTCATAAGAAAATGTAGAAAAATTAACTTAAAAGGCAGGCTTATGTAGGAAATAAATCATTTTATTTGTTGTTGTTTTTATTTTATTGTTTTTTGACTTGCGGATTAGGATTATTTGATTCGGTAGAAAACAAGCGAGATCATTTAAAAGTGCTTTTATCATCGGGGCTAGCGGCCTGCGCCAGACTCACGGAGGCGAGAAAAGCTTCAGAAACAAAGACGAAGAAAAACGCGTTTCTGTTCTTTGTGCCGTTTGAAAAATAAGTCCAGCTCCACTCATTGTGATGCAAAACCAGAGGAAATAAAAAATGACGCCGATGGGAGCGCGGAGAACAGGCGCGGTTCCGAACAACCACCGAAGCGTTTAGGCCTTTAGTCAGAATTAAATAATGATTATTTTATACAATAATATATATATATATATATATATATATATATATATATATATATATATATATATATATATATATATATATATATATATATATATATATATATATATATATATATATATATATATATATATATATATATATATATATATATACCTCCATCCTTATTTAACCAATCTGAGCTTCACTTGCACGGCTCCTTGGATCAGAACCACAGGTCTGGAGCTGAACACCTCCAGAGGGTTCTGGTACATTTGCAGGAGGAGGGAAGAGGAAGAGGAAGCTGCTCTTCACCATTTCTACACGTGATGCAGCTCTTTCTCTCAGCTTGAGCAAAGCACCTGCCACACACACACACACACACACACACACACACACACACACACACACACACACACACACACACACACACACACACACACACACACACACACACACACACACACACACACACACACCATGCTACTCACTCCGCCTGGACCTCCTCTCGTAGCTCTTCCTCCTGAACGGTTTCAGTTTCTTCTCCTTTTCCTTTCATTGCCAACAGAATCGGTGCGAATCTTTTTGTCTCCGCAGCAAAAGTCTTCTGATTCCTAACCCCCCGCCCCTCCACACACACACACACACCTCAGGCAGCCGCTGTTTGTCGTGTTGCGGGGAGCGGTTCGGGGCTGTGGGAGACCAAGCGGGCTCGCCGTGCAGACTGCGGGCTCTTTAAGACGTTAGGTGTGCGTGGACTCAAGTTTTCTAATTAATCTGCCAGGATGGCACACTCTTTGTTTAACGGCTTAGGCGCGTCACCCCACGTCACCGGTACACATTTTAATGTCGGTGAGACGCGCTGACCTCCCGTTCACCCGGAGCAGAGCCAACCCCCCACTCCTCTCCCACTCAGCCCTCCCTTTCTGCACTTCCACCTCTCCACTCCCTTCTGTCATCCATTCCCTCTTTTTGTTCGTCTCGGTGCTTCACCCTTCCCTCTCCCGCTCTCCGTCAAACAGAGTTGGAGTCATTACCCTGAAGAAAAATGTTCCGTGGATGTGGAGGAGAGACGGGAGGAGGGAGGAGGTCCTGCTGCTCCTCCTCTCTCCCACTCACATCTTTCCCTTCCAGGATCATTTCTCCACTCCTTTTGTTGCTTAAATGACACGAGTTTGACTCTGAACTTTTGTAGAATCACATCTGTTGAGCTTCTAGGCTAAAGCAACATGGGGCGCATGCGCAAAGGGACACGCTTCTGGAGCTAACTGCAGTCATGCTCGTTTTGATTTCAACACATCTGACGTGTTCTCCCTTCACTGTTGTTGCTATGCTTTTCAGCGTAACCCGGATGTTAAAAAAAACCAAAACAGGTTCAAAAAGAGTCTGCGCATGCGCAGCGATGAGTCTGATGAACTTTAACTTGAGCCTATAATCTCAGCTCAGTTTTCCTTTATTACTGTCCCTTCTGTTTTAACCAGCACTTCAATTATCTTCATCAGTTTCAAATAGAGGATGCTGATATGTGATGATGATGATGATGATGATGATGATGATGATGATGGTGATGGTGATGGTGATGGTGAAGGTGATGATGGTGATGGTGATGGTGATGGTGGCGATGGTGATGGTGATGGTGATGATGATGATGATGATGGTGGTGGTGGTGGTGGTGGTGATGGTGATGGTGATGGTGGTGGTGGTGATTGTGATGGTGATGATGATGATGATGATGATGGTGGTGGTGGTGGTGGTGATGGTGATGGTGATGATGGTGATGGTGATGGTGATGGTGATGGTGGCGATGGTGATGGTGATGGTGATGATGATGGTGATGGTGGTGGTGATGGTGATGGTGGTGATGGTGATGGTGATGGTGATGGTGATGGTGGTGGTGGTGATGGTGATGGTGGTGGTGGTGGTGGTGATGGTGATGGTGGTGGTGATGGTGATGGTGGTGATGATGATGATGATGATGATGGTGATGGTGGTGATGGTGATGGTGATGGTGATGGTGATGGTGGTGGTGGTGATGGTGATGGTGATGGTGGTGATGGTGATGGTGATGGTGGTGGTGGTGATGGTGATGGTGGTGGTGATGGTGATGGTGGTGGTGATGGTAATGGTGGTGATGGTGATGGTGGTGGTGGTGATGGTGATGATGATGATGATGGTGATGATGATGATGATGATGATGATGATGATGATGATGATGATGATGATGGTGATGGTGATGGTGGTGGTGGTGGTGGTGATGGTGATGGTGATGGTGGTGGTGGTGGTGGTGATGGTGATGGTGATGATGGTGATGGTGGTGGTGATGGTGATGATGATGATGATGATGATGATGATGATGGTGATGATGATGATGATGATGATGATGGTGATGATGATGGTGATGATGATGGTGATGATGATGGTGATATTAATAACAACAACGGGGAACAGAGTTTTGTTAAACAGATGTCAGACGGTGTGAACAACATGCCCCCCCCCCCGGCCCACACACACACACACACACACACACACACACACACACACACACCTGCAGCCCTGCAGACATGTCTCACGCTCCATGTAACCGAATAGCTCCCCATTTCCCCCCCCCACACACACACACAACACACACACACACACTCCGTTTTCTTCTCCCCACCTCTTCCTCTCCCCGTCTCCCCCCACCCACAGCAAAGGGAAGGAAAGGTCAGGCCCTCCTTCTATCACTTCTCTCATCTGTATCCCCTCCACGCCGCTG